CAGTTGGAGAAGTTGGACAATTACTGTGTGTAGCAGACAAATAAGAGTACTTTGTGCCAAAATTTGACATTGAGTACAACATACCATACCATGACTTAGTCATACCAAAAATTAGAAAAAACAGGGGGAGCCACAGCGATCGGTTGCATTTTAGCCATTTTTAAGCATTTTTCTGTTGTTATAGCGCCACCCAGTTGCCAATTAGAGTAAAATTTCTCCAGTCACCTTGAGGAGTCCTGTTCTACATATCTACCAAGTTTAGTAAAAATCGATATGGCGGTTAGGCCTAGATAAGAAATTAGCTCTCTAGCGCCCCCATTTTGTTTGATGGGGTCAATAATGGAGGGGTCCCCTCAGATTATGTGTGGTCATATGCCTACAAAGTTGCGTGGTGATCGGTGAAACACTTGAGATGTAATACACCTTTATGTGATGAGCCACGCCCTCCGCAATATTCATTGACTTATAGAAGCTCAGTTTAAGTAAGTTTTCCAACTTTTGCCAAGAGGGAACTTTAGATATTGGTCCCTAGATTATGTTCACAGAGTTTCATACAGATCGGTCAAGCTTCCTAGGAAGAGATTGATTTTAAGTGTTTTTCAAAAAATTCAAAATGGCGGACAATCTATATACCGGAAGTTATGGGTTGTTGAGGCTAATTTGTTCCTCATTAGGAGAGGCATGTCTGTGCAAAGTTTCATGTCTCTACAACACACAGGGCATGAGATATGCCCATTCAAAGTTTGCAATTTCAATCGGTTGCTATAGCGCCCCCCTTTGGCCAATTAATGTAATATTGCTTAACTCGCATCCTCCCATGACCCTCTACCACTGTGCCAAATTTCACATGGATTGACCAAGTCAGTGAGGAGAAAAACGTGGGCTGTCATTATATAGTAAGATACCCAGTGTCTCCTAAATTATGTATTTTCGGCTGTTTAAAAATACATCTATGGCTGTTTGATCAGTTCAACAATGGCGGAGACAATTTGACAGGTTTCCCACGGTCATGGAAGTCATGGAATTTCACATGACATTTTCCAGGCCTGGAAAAATCATGGAATTATTCAAAATTATTAAAAGCTTTGAAAAAGTCATGGGATTTTGTTGAGTGTAATGAAAAAGTCACAGTAATCTTCCATGGATAACCTTCCATGTAATGTAACCTAATGGCAGTTATTTATTGTAGCTCTCTCTTCATGTATGCCAGCTATCTGAAATTATCTTTAAGTAAAGTTTGAACGTGATAAGTTTGAAAAACGCCAGGCAAGTGGGGCAAAAATATATCATAGATCCTTCAAAATTCATGGAAAAGTTTTGAAATTTTGTCCATGAAAATGTATGAAAACCCTGATCAAAGCTTTGAAGGTGACATTACGAATGAGGACACCATCTTCCTGTGCCAGAGCAAATTATTGCATGTGTGAGCCTGACACAGATTTATGGGCTGCTGTAAGTCTACATATGGTAGTAACGGCTATTTAATCAGCATATGTCTTTGATAAATGCACATGATCTACTCTCAGTAACCTTTACCGCAGCTTTCATGTCAACTGAAAATGACGTCTGTGGGGGAGATGTGTCACTCCTTTTGTTTGGTAAAGTCAAAACATAATCCCACTGCCAACCCTTCATCACAACTTACAGCAACTGATTTTGACTATAGCAGCTACAGGCAAGTGCAAACAAGAGAAGACCTGAAAACATTCGGAGAATTACCTCCAGTGCAACTCAGTTCTATACAATTAGTAGTAGGTTGTCTATGTTCCGACTTTCTTTCAGCCAAAGGGGTCCTTGGCCTGAAAACCGTTGAAGACCCCTGATATAATACATCAGGTTTTCTTTAGCAAGCTGAATTATATGGCAAAGTAGGTGGAAGTGAGGAGTGGAAACATTGGATTGGTACATTTTCGGTAGCGTTTTGAACTGCTTCCACTGGGTTTTTAGTAATAATGGCACAATGGGTTGTTGACAGTTGACACAGGATAAGATATATAAATGAAATGTGTAAGAATGAACATTGCTACGACTTTATTGATTACCTGAATCTTGAGGTCCTGTAATGAAAACAATAACTAACTTTTGGCAGATGTGCAGAGCAGTGGGTCACTCTTCATCTGAGGTCCTGTGTCTCATAATGAGTCTGTTTCTATTCACTCTTGTATAATTTGGCAAATCATACACAGCATGAGAACACTGACAAACCGTGTGTGCCGTGATGAAGTGTGCAAACACACACAGGAGGCTACAAAACAGCAATCGAGTGTACGGAGCAGTTGAAGCTATGTACAACTGAGAGGTTGGTTGAAGCCAAAGATGCATAATGAGAGGGGGAGGGTCTCTGTGAGTAAGCAGTTAAAGCGGAAAAAATCTCCCTCTTCCATTGATTTTCCTGTCTTTGTGCTGCCATTGTGGTGACATTAAGGCTTAGCCTCTCAGTACCTCAGATATGCTGACCCCATGGTGCTGAAAAAGCTTTTTGTGGAGGTACATCCATGCAATGTGGTGTGTTTATACCTGGATTTAGTTTAGTCCTGTGTGTCTTCTGCCCTCTAATCCCAGTTTGCTCTTTTAAATTGTTGGAAGACAATATAGCAGAGCTTGGGCTATACAGTAAATCTCCAGTTCCACTGGCAGTTAATCCAAAAGCCGAACAAATATGACTTTTGGTAAAATCTGTAGGTACATACCTGGACAAATGGATATTTAGGCTCACAGGATGTAGACTGTGGCTATAAGCCTGCCATTGGCCGCCTGGTTAGGTCAGCATTCTCCCTACTTCTGCTGACTGTTATCGTTTTAAAAATCCCCTTGTGAGAAGAAACAAAATCTTTGGAGTCAACAACCTAATATGCTGAAAATGGCAAGTTTGACAGAAGATTTACATGGTGCAGTAAGGCATGCCTGCTTTGTGCTTTTGCACAATTGTTAAGATCCACAAGGGCTGCCCCCTAATAGTCAAACGTTTGTCGACCAGAAAGGTCATTAGTTCGCAAGATTTCATTGGTCGCTTAGTTGCAGAAAAAACAAAACAAAACAAAAACCCCCCACACAAACATGAAACTTAATTAGAAGCTGCGCCTTGTCAAAATAAATCAAAACCTATACAACTGGACCATGTGGGAGTTTAATTTGAATGGACAGACACAGGAAGAGGCCACGCTCAGCAGTCAGACAGGAGTCACGTTACAAACCAATCACAGCTGACAGATATCTTTCCCTTCTTCTGTAAATATTCAGTCTGATGAATACGGAAAAGTTGATCATGTTAGTGCAGGGCTACCCAGAGCTGTACATCCGTCCCACGGACGATACGCCTACACACTTATAAACGTTGCCTGGAAGAAGATCAGCTCTGCACTCAGGATTTCAGGTAAATAGACTACACAATGCTTGTTAGGGTTGCTAAGCAACTTCAGATGCAACCTGGCACTGCAATCTTGAAAGCTGCCACAAAAAAGGCACAAGAGTAGCACCCAGAGCCCGACCTCGCATTTTCCAGGCGGTTAAAGATGCGGCATGTGTATGGCCCCTAATTTAAAGGGCTGGTACCTGTGGTTATAACACAGGCTAGTTAATAACATGTCGGACAGGAAATCCAAAGTGTGGGATCATTTTGAGAAGGTGAAGGACGAACATAAGGTGATATGTAAACACTGCAGACAAACATTCGCCTATCATTCGTCAACTACAGACATGATGTATCATCTGAAACATGGAAGAAGCTACATGCCCATTAGCCACTTAGCACAATCATTACTGCTTTGCCGACAGCGTCATTAACAGGTGGCTCACTCAGTGCGTGACATACACTTGTAGATAAAATATAGGCCTATATTAAGGAAGGTTCATTAGTACGGTTTTGAGTTTCACTGTAATGTAGCACAGTGTCAACAATGTTACTGATACTATTCTTTCTCAGACCTTGAACTCAAATCATTGTGTTGCCCCGCCCGAAATATATAATTTGATAATTAAATTAATACTGTCAACATGCAGGTGACTAAATGACGACTATTGGTCAGCTAGGAAAAGTCTTAGTCTTGGGCAGCCCTAAGATCCACAACCAATTAAATAACTTATGAAAGCACCTAGGAAAAGCCCAGACTCTATCTCACAGGACTGTCATGCCAGATGATGATCCATTGTCTGACATGTCTAGTTGGAGTTGATTTGTCACATCTTTCCTACATCACGAGCTAAAACATCAGCAGCACTAACACTCAACATGGTCGCTCAACGGTCCCAACAAACTCACATTGATACCGACAGCCTAAACTCTTACATTAAAGCATTAAATCGGTTTATAACTGTTAATACCATTTTCGGGGCTTTTTTAGGCTGCCTTTCAAATGACAGTACTCACCTCACCACGTGCAAATGTTACACCAAAACAAGCTCTGATGCTGCATTCTGGGCTTAGTGCTGCCCAAATTGTGACTGGTTTAAAGAAATATTACCAAGCCAGAGCATTTTTTCCCTATAGCAGAATGATAGTAGGTGATTCCAGACCTTTCTCTAGTGCTGACACATACAGCTCTGTGGAGATGGATAGGGCTACGTGAGACTATTGCATATTAAGTGAAGATTGTGGTCGTGTGCTCAGACATACATTGGAGAGAAGACCACATAATCAATTGTTTTGGTGAGTTTGTCAGACATGATGCCTCAGTGGCCACATTACTCCCATCTGGAACGATGGCTTGACTATAATCAGCCTCCATTCCCCAATATACGCACTTCATATTTCTCTCTGTCTGCAGTAGCGTAGCTCATTATCCTGTCTCTCTGTCTTATATGCACTTTATCCACTGAGAAAAGTGTTGCTTACCAAGGGGACAAAATTAGGGCATTAACAAGAGCCTATTAAAACTACATTGCATTGCACTGTTGGATTACTTATTGACATCTGGCAAAGCTGTTGCACTCAACAATCACAATGAGTTCATAAACTTAATATCCATTTTTTATGGGTGTGACAATAAAAACACAATGAAGAGAAAGATCAAACAGCATTTATTATCGTCGTCATATAATTTATATATTTAGATAAAACTAAGATTGACTATTAAGTGTAGTGATGCATACATGGACTTGGTGTATACATGCACAACTCTTGCAGAATGATCAAATTCGCATTAAGCATGAAATTTGTGTTTTCTTCTTGTTTTGTGTGTAACAAAGCCTGCATGATTGCCTCTGCTATGAAACACAGAAATCACAGTAATTTCAGTAAAGGTTGTGTCTCAAGAAAAAAGAAAACAATTCAATAAATTGTCAGTAAAACCATTTGTTTTTTCCTATTAAAGCCTCCAAAGGTAAAGTACATCTCTGTTTCCATGCGCAACTCCTCCACTCTGTCTGTGGTCGGAGGTCAGTGGGAGTCTGTTGTTGTTGTGGGACTGTCTGGATCTCAGCGGTCAGCGTTCATCTTCCGTAGCTTCGCTGGCAGGTTGTCCTCTGGCCTCCCTCCAGCTGAGAGCAGTGGGCTGTGCATGGGGACCGGAGCAGGGGACAGCATGGGCGTTAGGCTGTGCTGGTACAGGTCTCCAGTAGACTGGGTCATGGGTTCAAAGCCCACCTTGAGGGACTTGAGTTGCAGCCTATTTTCCGCCTCCGGTCCTGGCGAGGAGCTGAGGCGTTGTAGCTTTAAGGGCAGGTCTCCTGTGCTGCAGGCCTTCTCTGAGTGCTGGGAACTGAGCAGAAGCACCTTCCTCTGCAGGTCTTCCTTCCCGGACGAACTCATCCTCTGCAGCTTGCTCGGCAGCCGACCCCCAGTCCCTCCCCTTCTGTCCTCTGATGTGTTGATGCAATCCACAGAAAACACCCGGTCACGCCGGGCACCGTGGCTTTCAGTCAGTGCGGGAGTGGGAGTAGATAGAGGCGAGGGCAGCGAATTCTTCTCTTCATGCTCCTTAACACTGTATGGTGGCGTTGGTACCTCAAACGTGCTGTGGAACTGAGAGTAGTCTACCCTGAAAAAGCCTTCCTCCAGGGACATGACCGGCAGGAAGCGATGGCCCCATAAAACCTCATCCTCGGTATATGACGTCCGTGCCTGGCATGTCATACCTACAAGAGAGTGACAGGTCAGTAATATGAAATAAATCAATGAGTTTAGCTCCAACAAAACAATCAGTGGCTGATAAGGAGGAATGTGAAAGGGCAGCATTCTCTCCCATTATCTCTTTTCCGCTCTGCTCTTCTTTATTGTTTAAGGAGTCACTGCTTCATGCTCCTTCCTGTGCAATCTACCACCTAGCCCCATTTAGTCACACACTGGAGACTGAATACAGTAAATCAACTGGGAAAGGATTAATACCATTTCCCAAGTGGTTCACCAAAGCAGATAAACAGCTATAACCACTGACTATTATCACTACTTTCCATGTTCTAAGCATGTCACCTCAAATGTACTAAAATGAAATATCTGTGATATGAGATGAGATAACGGACATCTTTTTGTACCACTTACAAAGTATCTGCCTTTAAACATTCCCTCCTGGAGGTTAAAGCAGTGCTTTATGTTTCCATTGTCTTGTGCTGTTAATATGGGTGAAAGGTGAGTGATGCTTGTTATCAGCGTGGCTTGTGTTGGCTGTGATAATTGCCAGTTTAAATCTGATCAACATAATAAGCAGTCCCTCAACATCATCAATGTCAAGAGCCATGGGTCCTGTGTGTGCATGTCTGAACTGTAGCTTGTGATTATAACTGTGAAAGTTACTGGCCTGAATTTCTTTTCTGACAAACTGATATCTTTCTCTATTGGTGGCTGTTTATTACTTCTCCATAATTCAAGGATTTCTTAGCAGTGTATGTGCCTGCATGTCTGCTGTGCACAGGATTATAACAGCTTACAAGCATCTTCAACACACTTTTATTCCATTTGACCTCAGCTCCTGTAAAATAATGTTCCTGACATTTTGATGCTTGTTTCTTTGCAATCAATAAGCACCTAGTCCATATTTTTCTCTGATTCAGTGGTTCTGCTTCCACCTGAGCTTTTCTGTGAAACACTACAGTTAGCTGTAGAGTAGGAGTCTGAGCCTGTCCCTCTGAGGGATGATATGTGCAGTGTTATGTCATAGCTTGATGCTATTCCAGGCTCACTACTCAGCTTCATCCACAGAAAAGTCAGTTCTACATTTACACAAAGGTAATTTTTTGTCTTAATTAGCCCAGAGGCTTAGTTTTAATCACAAGAGTGAGTCCAAGATAATTTTCCAGCTGTATTCTCTCCTCTTACTGGCAGAATAACGACTGTATTCCTGCTGACTGTAGATGCATAAAAAAAGCAGTAATACCAGTGCAGTGAAGGCTTGTGGGTTGAGAGCCTGACAGGCATGCCAGTTTTGTTTCATCATCCAGGTGTCATATGGGTATTCAACCAGCTGGTTCATGTTTACTGCATCTTGCATGAAAATAAAAGCCCTCAGCACAAGTATGCAAACACTTGGCAGGCAGTGAGGAGGGCGTCCCTGAAGAAGACTTTATGTAAAATTCCTGGCAGTAACTTTCACTGGCACTGTTTACGGAGCGCATTATGATGCTTTGCCTCTTTTGTCAGACCTTATTTAAATCTGGCCACTGTTACATTGCAAGAATCTGACTTAACCCACACTTGCAGAGATGTGTGTGTCATCTGCATATTAGTGAAAGTGTAACCTATGGATGGAGTTGATATGCGAGAAGAAAAAAGAGTACCCTCCTAAGAGGAACTTAAATCAAGTCATGTTGACCACCCTATATTCAATAGTTTACAAAGGTTTTGTTTATAATACACATTCTATTCTGCTCTGTTTTTAGAGGTCTTAGAAGGTCCTCTTGGTTTGGAGCAACAAAGTTCAAATGATATGATATTGGGTTCAGATAAGCTTTTGTTCTGCTACCACACATCCCTGCTCTCTGCGGACCTGAAAGGACTTAAGGCCATTGCACAAGTCCATATTTTTTGTCATGATGCATCGGACTCAACAATTTTTGTCGAATGACAGATTTTAAAAAATGGATACGAAAAATACATACTCCGTTTGCAAAGCCTTTTACCATCACTTTTGATCTTGTGATATGTCATAATCATCACACTGGAAAAATTGGCGTTCAAGACAAGTCTAAGGGCCATTTCATAATCGATGCAAAGGCATGCAGATGCGAACCCACTGGGATGCATTGAGACGCATTGATGCGTGCTTGTGTCTGTGTGTTGTCCATTTTTTTGATACGCGACGCAGCAGCACGTGTAATACCATGCATTGCCAGCGGGGGTGATAATGCAAGCAACGTACTTGAAATTAACCACTTTTTGTTATTCACAGAAGAAGCAGGTATGAAATATGGTGGGCGAGGAGGAAAAACTTTGCGAACTCGTACAAGCACACCCCCATTTATATGACAGTTCTAGTGCCCTGCATTATAAAATAGTAGTACTAGCTAGCTACAGCAGTACTAGCTAGCCAGAGTGTACTGGTGACTCTGCTACCCCCTATTGCGCCAGCAATGAATTGCATTTCAAGTGTTGCCCACGTTGCTTGCGTTCAATGTGTTGACTATGAAAGGAAGTGCATTGCTCGCATTGTGTGCGTCAACTATGAAACGACCCTAACATTTCTTCTTAACTCCATGCAATGCCAGTAAGCAAAAAAGCAAACAAATCATTTCAGTTTTTCAAAATTAGGATGTCCTAAGCGGCTCTATGTGTCACTGAACAGGGTAATTGACATCGTGCTTGTTTGAAGCCCTGGCTCTATTTTTGCGAAGCCTACACACACCTCCAACCTATAAAGCTGCTGCTTAGGCTTTATTAGGGCTTGATAGGCTCCCTGAATGTCATTGTCACTCTCCATCCGTGACAATGTTAACTGATGCACTGGAAGAAATAGCATTGATTGCTGCTCTTTTGGCCCCTGTTGCTCATTACGTGATGACTCATGCATTGGCTTTTTCTCTCTTTTGTGTCTATTTGTATTGACCGTATTTTGGATTAGGTGTAACCACAGACCGTTGATGAACTGACACAGCCCACTTTAGATTAAATTCCTGTATCTGTGTCACATGCTTCCCCACTGCCCCGCCCCTTTAGGAGACTAGTGGCGGCCCTGAGTCTATTTATTCCAATGGGAAAAGTGAATGTGAGTATAGATTATGACCATTTCCTTTGCCCCATAGTCACTGAAGTAAATATTGAACCCATTTTTTATACAAGCCCCAACCCTTCTAGACATTCTGACATGGAAAGGGCATTTTTTCAGACGGACAAATCAGGAAAAAAATAACTGTTCAAGACACGTCTCATTTTTAGCAACATACATGAGATCTGATGACACTCTGGTGAGTGATTTTACACTCGGTTGATATCGGACTTTAAGCTAGCAGATAAAAATGAGTGGAAAATTAAGAAACAAACATTAAATTTGTACTATATATAGTGATGTGTTGTTCTGAATTTTATTTCATCCATCACACAGGAACTGCCCATTGGTCCGACAGCCCATTGGTCCAACCATATTAAACCCATTGTTCCGAAGTCCGTTCCGAAATCATCATGATGCCCTGTGGTTAAGGTCTGGGTAGGTTTAGGCACAAAAAACACTTGGTTAGGGTCAGGAAAAGATCATGGTGTGGGTTAAAATGAAAAAGAAAGTGACAAACACATAAGCCGTGAGCCTGCTTCGCCTCAAGCCTTTCCCAGCTGACCCAGAGCCGGTTGCGGCGCACCATCAAGGTAGAAATACGCCCGCCGGGAGCCGTTCAGCACCGCGGATCGTCTGACTAATGGGCTGTCGGACCAATGACATGGACCCCATCACACAATGTTTACTATACTTCCAAACGAAGTGGGTGGATGCAGTGGAGAGACGACCATGCCAACTTAGGAGACCGGAAGCGTATACCATTTTGTTCTTTGGCGCAGCTTTAGTGGGGTATCTTCTGTTAAAGAGTATCTTTGGTGTAACTATCATCACTTTTTTTATTGATTTATGTAAGTGGGATTTTAGTATGTTTCGCATGGGTCCATTTTGGATCAGATGAGTACCTTCCATTGTCAGATGACTAACAGTGATTTCAAGAGAGTCTAAATTGTCAGGTTTGGATTGATTAGATGATGACTTGAGATTGTTTTTGATGATCATTTCTTTCTTAACATAAAAGGTTTAAAGTCAATACAGTGATTATGTTTAGCCTAGCTTTGTCACAGTACGAAATCACTGAGCATAAACCAGTAAACACTGTGACTGCGGAAGTTATACAGTCTATAGAGACTGCATTCTCCAACTATCTATCAATTCATTCTCTTTCACTGCTCTCATGTTCAGGGTCACATACTGTTTCAAACATCTCTGCTTTTTGTTCCTTACCTGTAAAAAAAACAGAATCAATACTGCCTGTAAAGCCCCCTTTCCACTGGACCAAGGAACCACTAACACCCACTAATATCTGCTATTGTATTTAATGGGAAATGTTACGATCGGCATTCACTCCCGGGGCAAATGACTCTGCAGTACTCACAAGTATCTATCTGCTCTAGCTCTGATTGCCTTCTACTGACAGTGATGGAAATACAACTTCACTGATGGGATGCCATAAAATACTGCATGTCTCCACCGAAGCAGTGCTCAAACATCATTCAAAATGGTGTCTGCACCGAGTTTGAAAGAAAAAGAATAAGTAACAGACATAAACAAGAAGTAACCACTGTAACATTTTATCCGGCCTCCATGATGGTTTCTACTGGGCAGTAATCATTTTTCTGACCTATTTGTGACGTGGCACACCAGAAAGGCAGATTACTGGCAGTAGGTGTGCAGTTTATCACATGCCCTAAATTTGGTGGGAAAGGGGTATAAGAGGCCAACTAAAACTGACAAATATTAAAGTCACTGCCTTATAATCTGTCTGACTGAAACATAACTGGAATGAGTTGGAGAGACGATCAACAAGATAAACAGCTGTGCAGCAGCAGCAGCTAGATGTGAGGGGAGTGTGAGAATAACAGGATACTGTGGCCCACTGAAGGTGTACTGCCAGGGCTTCCCTCCTTTACTCATCAGATCTGGGTGCCACAGCACTGCGACACTAAACTTCTGGCTGCACCCTGATTTAATGGTATTATCAACGGAGCACAGACCGAGTTGCCTGCATGCCTCTATGCTTCCCTGCTGATCCCTCCCTCCTGCTCTAAGCCTATTCAGCTCTGTGGTTTCTTCTACAGCAGCGGCAAAGTGAGGGCGATGGGGGATGGATGGTAGCAGAGCTAAAAAGAAAAGAGGGAGATGGATTTATCTGTATTGGACTTCAGGGAAGAATCATTCTGTTACATATGCAACAGAGAAAACAGTGTTGTCACAGAGAGTACTCCGGCATGGCTGCCTTTTAGTTTACGGCTGCAGCTGTATAACCATGTCTCACAGGCTCAGAATTACCTCTGCTCTCAGCTGTCATCTGAAAAATGGAGTGGAACTTCGACTAAAACCTTGGGTCATTTATCAATGTGACACACGCATCTACGACCACAGGCTTTTATTATGCATAGGGTGGGCATAAACCAATTCTGCTGTAATAAAGTATTCCTCATAATTCAATCAGGGTGTCTATCTCATGTGTTGTCATTCTAACTTTTTTTTTTCATCTCCCACGTTCTTCAAATATGCAAAACTGAGATGGCGGGGAAATGAGATTTCGAGTTTAGATTAGTATCTATTAGACAGGAATGTTATGTGGCTTGATATTAATATAGGAATTTACATTTAGATTGAGAGGAGTGACGGAAAGGAGAAATGAGAATGAGATAGAAGTGGATGCAAAAAGCATAAAAGGAAACAGGTGACAGAAGTGATGGGAAAATGAGTATGATTCAGGATCCCTCACCAGTGGTCTCCACGATGCCCTCAAGGATAACGACAATCTCAAACTGTTCGTTCATGAGGGAGCGCTGGGATAAGTCGAAAAAGGGGCTCTTGGGATTGATTTCATGGCAAATGGTGAGAGGGGACACAAGGAAGAGCTGGTCTGCACCCGTCCCAAAACCAACATCCAGTTCACACTGGTCCAGAGGCAGGAACTCGCCCTCGGGTGTCTGACGAGACTGAAAGACAGTTAAGAGAGAGGGAAGTGGACAAAGACAGAGGGAAGAGCCAGGGAAGTGAAATGAAGATAGAAAAGAGACAGGAAAGAGAAGATTAGATGCTTCTTATGGCAAAGCAGGGAAAGAAAGATTCTTGTTCCAGCATCGTTTGTCTTCCTTTCGTCTAATGAAACAGGACATAAATCTCCAATCCAGTAACAAGATCTTTCACTTAACCAAAAGTATTAATGGCACTTGGCACAATGTAAGAACACTCCATTACAAGTCCTGCATTCAAAATGTTACTTAATGTTACTTGTTGGTTTATAACCCACTTACTTTGGAAGGCTGCAATCACGTGACTAATGTGCTTATGGGAATAAAGTAGGATGTAGTTAAAGAGCGAGGCAAGTTGGGCTGATGGATGGGTCAAATGAGCACAGGACTTCCACCCAGGAGACTTGTGATCGTATCTTATGTGAAACCAAGTGAGGTGAAATTATTTTGATGTACATCATCACCATATTTCTTTTCCTGAACCAAGATAACTTTACTTGCCTAATCCTAACCAACATAACTTTACATGCCTTAACCTAACCTACGTAACTTTTACCAGTTGCCTAAACTTAACACTAGTAACTTTATGTTAAGTATATAACTTAACATTAAATACCTGACCTGACAACACCCAACCATGTTTCCTTTCCTTAACATAACCTACATAACTTTTCTCACCTAAACCTAACCTACGTAATTTTACTTGCCTAAACCTGACATACGTAACTTTACGTTAAATACATCACCTGAACACGCCCAACCATGTGTCTTTTCCTAAACCTAACTTACGTAATTTAAGCTTCCTAAACCTAACCTACGTGACTTTTCTTGCCTTAACGTAACCTACGTGACCTTACTTGCTTAAACTTAACACCAGTAACTTTATGTAAAGTACATAACTTTACATTAAAAACATAATCTGACAACACCCAACCGTGTTTCCTTTCCTTAACTCAACCTACATAACTTTACTTGCCTAAACCTGACATACGTAACTTAATGTTAAAGAAGCAACAGACAGAATTTTCGCCTATATATACCATTGTGAAAATAATGTGGGTTGCACAGGGTAGTATAAAATCACACTATCAGCGTTTACATAGGTTACTTAGTGACTTAGTGACGAATTTTCGCAGAAAAAATCTGCTTTATGGCAGGAAATGCGTCATGTATTGCCAAACTGGTCGGTCAGCCAATCAGGGACTGGAGCTGGTCCTTATGAGGAACTGGCCGGGGCATGAGATAGTTGAGTCAGGAGCACAATGGCAGACGGACAAAGTTTGGAGACAAGTGAAAAACGGCCTCCCAAAAGAAAACGAGCTCCTCTGTCTGAGGAGGCAAGGATGCACAAAAAGGAGAGTAATAAAAGAAGAGGAAAAACAAGAGTAAACCTCAGTCAGGCGTTAAAGAGATGGAGGGAGCTCCGTGACCAAAGAGGCTTCAAAACCAGTGTCCAGCTAGCTTTCTTTCTCATGGATCAGTAAGTAACACGGCTAAATGTTAGCTAGACGAGAGAGGACTGGACTGTACTGGCTGCTAGTTAATTCCTAGCTGGCCAGCATCGCAAATCGCTGCAACCAGGGACCGGGTACAAGTGTTGGTCGGCTGACATCCTCGTTGCCATTCTATGGCAGCCCTCGGACAGTGATAAATCCCATTATACATATTGGTATAATTTACTGTGAGTTGTTTGTACTGATACTGTACATATTGGTATAACTTACTGTGAGTTGTTTGTACTGATACTGTGCATTCTGGTATAATTATTTGCATTACTATTTGTTTTTTCTTCAGATAAATCTGATAGTTGCTCGGTCTCTTTACTCATTTATTTAGTATAGTGTCCACACACCTTCTCTTTCTACATATACATAGAGGTACACAGGTGACTTTATAGCCTACATTTTATTGATTATCTCTGATCCCCACGGTCAATTTGGTCTTTGCGACAGTGCGAGCAACACTGCTGACACTGGCGCCAAGCTAAAAAAAACAAACAAATCCTATCTGTTGCCTCTTTAAATGCGTAACTTTACGCCTGCATTTTACTTGCCTAATTCTAACCAACATAACTTTACTTGCCTAAATTTTACACAAGTACGTTTATGTCAAGTATGTTACTTTACGTTAAAAACATAACCTGGCAATGCCCAACCATTTTTCTCTTCCTAAACCTAAGCTACGTAACTTTACTTGCCTAAACCTGACATATGTAACTTTACTTGCCTAAACTTAAGACAGGTAACTTTACATTAAGTACATAACTTACATTAAATAAATAACCTGACCATGCTCAATCATTTTTCTCTTCCTAAACCTAACCTGTGTAACTTTACTTGCCTAAACCTAACCAATGTAGCCTAACTTGCCTAATTATAACCAGCGTAACTTTACTTGCATAAACTTAACACAAGTAATTTTACATTAAGTACATAACTTTACATTAAATAAATAATCTGCCAATGCCTAAATTAAAATGTTTTTTTCCTGTGGAAAAAGTGGTCGTGACTGATATTTTGTTATATATGACATTAGAACGTTAATACTGATGCATCAATGTAAAAGCAGCATGTTATTGCCATAGTTGCTTGAGGTGGTGCTAGTTTTCATTATATACCCCCAACCAAGGGGTAAAATAAATCAGGGGGATCTTAAGATGATTACTGAGAGAGGAAATAAGAAAAAACACATGATACACAAATCTGTTGGTCGTTTCTAAGACTTTACTCTAAATATTGTTTTCTTGTAAATTATTTTAAATTTCACCTCTTTGGACCCCAGTACAGAAGTTTAGAAGTTTGGTAGACCTGGTAACCACTCAGACATCTGAAATGTGACAAGCAGCCCCAGCTACACACTGCTTTTGTTTGTGAGGAGTCACAAGCAGTGCATTGGATTTTTACATGCAATGCTAGTATAAAGTAGCCAAAAAATGAAACTACAGTAGTACAAGCTGTGCAAGCACCTCAAAATTCAGTCTAAAGGTGTGATGGGGTGATTCTCTAAAAATACATATATCACCCTCCTGAAGAGGTGATGGAAGATGTTTTCTCTCTCCATCTATCTCACTTTTCCATTGGTGCCTTGTTTGCAGTAGCCACAGACTTGGCGCTTCACATTGATTTTTAGAGGAACTTGCAGGTGGGCGTATGAGACAGGCAGCCGTGTTTGGACAGGACTTGCCCACAGAGTGTTAACTGGTGCGGAAGCATTTAATTGCCCAGATGATGTTGAAGCTCAGCACAAAGCTCCTGGATGTAGTTTCTCCTTTCCTGTCTTATTCTGTCTAATCAATCTGTTACCTTTTCTCGTCTTGTTTGCATCTCTCACTTAGCGGTCTGTTTACTCTTTCCTGCACACGTTAAATTTTCAATTTTTTAATCCTGTCAGTAAAGAGGTTTGCAGCCTTTTCGAAAGCTTTTATTTATTAATCACCTTTAATATTTTCAATATAAAACTGAAGGATGGCCAATGCTGCTACAAAAAAGTTTAAACTGGTTGTTTGAGCAGGGTAGATTTCCATTTTGGTAAGGGTGAGATAAGACACTTCAGTCTGTGTTTCTAATGTACACTATTATTCTTTTACACTTAAAATAGCACTGAAAAATTACTTGGATACTTGGAAAACTTTCTTTTTAAGTCAACAGTTAACATTAAAATAACATCAAAAATCAGTGTCAAGCTGATTTTCTTATAAAGAATTTAATATCGAAGCTCATTTTTATCCTCTTTTCCTTTTTCTACATTGTTTCACTTCCAACGAATAATTGGGCACCAGCCATCCACTCACCCACACACACATACACACACAGATACTATTCCTCTGCCACACACAGCTTCATCCCACACACACAGTCCCACCCCCTTCTCTACAACCCTTTCTACCATTTCTGGCTCTTTTGTTCTCATTTGTCCTAAAATAATCAACACATTATTTCCTCAAAGGCAGTGTCCTCTTCCAGCCTCCATAACTCAGTCAGTGTCATGTACATTTGTTTGTTCTGACCCAAAGTGTTGTCATAATAAATAGAACAGTGGAATATCTTTGGCTTAAACTCACAGTTACTTTGATTAGTTACCTCAGTTTGGTATTACAGTACCTATACAGTCCGCCCTGCCCCACATAGTTACAGCTGCTATTCTAGATTTTATCAGATGTAGATAGCTTGCTAATTAAGCAAAAGTTGGTGGCAAGTTGGTTGAAAACCCTTCTCTGGCTGATAACCAGAACCTTGTAAAGGGGTCTTAAATACATGTCAGCACTTGTAGGCTACATCAGTACTGTTCCAATCACTGTCCCAATCAAAAAGTCAGTATGCTCTCCAGCTGATGACCCATAAAGAAGACATGGAAATAAAACAGCATTTTCCTGCAGTGTAGAGTTAGTAGCCTATTTTAAAAGGGAAAAATGTAAGATCAGACACTTACTTTGTTCTTACATAATCTAAATTTGGTTGTTTAACTTCCAGAGGCCCTTTTATCACTTTTATTACTAAAAGAGAAATTATTTTTATGATAACGACCAGCTGCTGGACTGTAAACATCCCTAAATCCAAAAAAAGATCAGGACACATTGATTGTTTTTCCAACCCACTGTAAACTACCCCCTCTTCCAAATAACAGAGGTGAGGCTGCCAGCCTACTGCTGCAAGTAGTAGCCTATTTGCTGTGGCACACAGGAAGTCTGGTGCTGGCTCAAAGACCTGTGTTATAGCTGGGTGCCCTGTGAAACAGCACAGCTTAAGTTCATCAGTGGCTTTGAACACCACCCTTGCTAAAATACACCAAGGAATTCTACTCCCTCTCATCCCTCTCCTTAGAGGCAGGACATTGATTTCCGATGCCCCTCTGCCTCCTTTATGTATTGTGTCTGGTTTACATGTGTCTACCTTCCTTTTGTTTATTTGTTTTACAAACAGATGCTGGCTGAATTCAAGCTGATACAGCCATTAAAGGGAAACTTT